GGAAAAAAAAAAAAAAAAAAAAAAAAAAAAAAAAAAAAAAAGTCATTGTCATTAAAGATGGGAAGATGGTGCATTCTCACATGTGACAGCTGGCTGGGTCATCAAATTCACAAGTGAAGTCATTCTCTTGCTGGCTTTGCTCCCTGTCTTCTGCTTTGGGGATGCTGCTGGGAAGTGCATGCCGTTCTTACTCCTGATCTCTTCCTCTCAGAGGTTCTGAATGTCATGACATGACTTTGACTTTAACGTCATGACATTATTAGTGGTGCTGTGGGTGGAGATGTGCATCCTCCACTTCCAGGAAACTATTGCTATTGTTCCTTAGGTAGTTTCCTCCCCTCTGTTTTCTCTGTTTTCTCTGGAACTCCAATTAAGCCCAGCAGCTGATAAATGGTAATTCCAGAGAGAATGGGATTGATCCTCTGATTTTCTTCTCTCTTCTCTCATATCGTCTTTTTGTTCTATTTTCTGGGAGAGTTTTGTCTATCTTTTTAGCTCTTCTGAATTTTTAAAAATTTTGGTTTTTTATTTCTCAGCTCTTTGTTCTCTGTTCAAGGCTTACTTATGCATCTTTGAGAAGATGCATTATTTTCTCTTATCGCTCTGAAATTATCTTTCATATTCTATCTCTACCACTGTTTCCCCTGAGTTTTCTCTTGGTTTTGTGTGTGTGTGTGTGTGTGTGTGTGTGTTTTACCTCCAAGGGGGGCTAACATGGGACCTCAGAGAGCTTACATGCTTAGTGTAGAGGTAAACTGGAAACCAACCATCCCCCGAACCCACCTTCCATCTCACCAGGACCAGCAAGGGCAGTTGCCTGTCTCCAAGCCTAGTGTTGGGTAGCAGGGAGTAGAAAAACTTCTCCTGAGAATTTTTAACCACAAGCCGTCCCTGAATAAGTTTGCACCCTGAATTGACAATATCTGTAGTCCTAAAGATTCCTAGCTGAAATTTTAGTTTAAAGTGGTAGTATAGGATTGGTTTGTCATCAGTCAACTAACACGCTTCCTCTCTGGAGGAATTTGCTTTTAACCCAACCTCAAAAAATTCTCATTGATAAAATTCCAAGAACTATAAACACACAGTCAAAACAAACAAATTGCAAGAAAATAAGACGTGATGAGCAAGAACCAACATAAACAATAGCTTGCAGACTTGGACCTCAAATACTTGAGATATTGGCATTACCAAATGCAGAATGGAAAATATGTATTTCCAATATACTTAAAGAATAAAAGAAGAAATTTAAATTAGAAGCAAGACAGTATATAAAATGATCAAGCTGACTTGAGAAAGAACCAAATAGACCTTCCAGAAATGAAAAAATATTTGACACGTAAAACTCAATGGATGAGTTGGTACAGCTACTTAAAAACAAAAAGCTCAATAGATTGTTTAGCAGCTGAAGACAGACTTAACTGGAAGAAATATCAGTAGAACTTATCCGGAATGTCCAGAAACAGAGGCAAAAAATATGAGTTAATAAGAGACAGAGAGGGGGCTGGCCAGTTAGCTCAGTTGGTTAGAGCAGTGTTATAACAGCGAAGTCAAGGGTTCAGATCCTGGTACCGGCCAGCTACACACACAGAAAAAAGACAAGGAGGCTGGAGTAGGGAGGACTAATAAAAGTTCTAGTAGGGACAGAGACGATATCTGAAGACAATGACCAAGAATTTTCTAGGACTTATGAAAGACATCAATTCATAGACTCAGGAACCCAATGAATCATATTTGGATAAATGAAAAAATCCACACTTGGGCACATCACAGTAAAACTGCAGGATACCAAAGACGAAAAATCTTAAAAGCAATTAGACAGAATATCCTCAAAGGAACAACAATAAAAACAACAACAAATAGATAATAACTGACTTCACAGCCACAATGGAGACCAAAAGATGGTAGAGTGGTATTTTCAATCTTGAAAGAAAATATTAACCTAGAATTCTATACCCAGCAAAAGCTAACTTAAAGATAAAGCACTAGGAAAGGAGGGGGCAAATAGAAAGCACAAAACAAAGCAGTAGAACTGTATCAAGTATAAAATTAATTACAATAAATGACTAAATGCTTCAATTAGAAGATAAACATTTTCTAGATAAAAAAAAAATCCATCTTTAAGCTGTTCCTAAGAAACAGAAAGACTGAACATGAAAGGATAAAAACAGCACATTTTGAATAGAAGGGAACTTAGCCTAATACAGGGCATCATTTAAAAAAACCCAAAACATCAAAACAAACATTAAATGGTGAAATAACGAACTTCCTCTAAGGGCAGAAACAAAGGTGCCCACTACCTGAACTCCACGTTGTAGAGCGCGTCTCCCCCATACAGGGGAGCAAGAGAAATAAGAGAAAAAAATTAATAAGGAAGAACACTTTTCATAGATCGTATGACTATAAATACATAAAACAAAAGAATCTATAAGTAGAAAAACAATGTTAGGTTTGCTGGACACCTATTTTCATAAACCATGTATAATAGCATAAAAATATCAGATACTTAAGAATCAATCTAATAAAAAAGGTATGATCTTTATGAGAAAAACATGTAACTTTATTGAAAACATTAAATGGAGAGATTACACCATGTTCATGAACTAGAAAATTCAATCTTAGATAGTTGCCAGTTTTCCCCAAACTGAGCTACAGGTTCAATTGGTTTTATTCACAATCTTAAAGGGCTTTTTATTGGTGAAACTTGATAAGCCGATTCTAAAATTTACATGGAAGAGCAAGGGCCAGGAATAGATCTTAATGGATGATTCCCAAAGGACACAGGGGTAGATACAATGACCAGTGGAACAAAACAGAAAAATTAATTGTGGCATATCCCAGGGATCAGTATTCAGCGGGGAAAAGAAATGCCCTACAGCTGCAGGCAATAATTTGGATACAGCTCAGAAACATAATAGTGACAGGGCAAGTCATAGGCAAATAAACTCTACATTTATATAAAATTCAAAAATATACAAACCCAGTACAAACGTAATAAAACTATAAAACAAAGCAAGGGAATAAATAAGACAGGACCCCTCCCAGCAGGGAAGGCACAGCAGGGACTTGGAAGGAAATGATAACTTTCTCAAACAGGGTGGGGTTGTAACTAGTTTCTTGTATCTCCTCACTATTTAGTTTTTAAAAACATGAAAATAAGATATGCTGGAGGGTGAGGGGTGAAGCAGAGGAGGACACAGGACAAGTCTGCTAATGCCTACATACAGCGCGAAGTGCCAGGCATGCCAGTAAACAGCATGCCCTTGGGAAGAAACAAACCTCTGTGGGCACGGGCAGAGCCTGTCGGAAGGGTGGGCTCCTCGGGGGGTTCTTGCGGGACAAGGCTGCCGTTTCACGGAAGGATCCCCCAGCAGTATCTGTGGACTTTTCACTTAACCCCATTATTGGTCCAGCCCATCACCCTTACCCTCCCCAGGGCCCCTGAGACCCAGAGCTTCTCTGTTTCAGTTTCCCCTTCAAATAACGCCCCCCAGAGGGGCAGCAGCTGTGCTGCAAGTGTGGGGAGGGCCACACCTGGCTGCTCCTTATAAGACTTTCCGTCTGTCCCCACTCTTGGTCTGAAGCCTCACCTCACCTTCCGTGGTACTTGACAGAATTCCTGAGCCTCTCCACAGCTCTGGGGCGATCCCGCTTGCCTCTTGGCCCCTCCCTTGGGGAACGCGTAATTTCAACTTCTAATTCTCTGCTAAGAGAGTAAACAAGCCTCCACTTTCCATCTCTCAAAACGTTGACAGGCTCTTTGGTCTACTGCTGTCTCCCTATATCCTTTCCCGATGTAAATTTATATCTTTTTTATTTCTTTACTATCATTTTAGTGAGATTCTAAGACGAAACAGAAATAAGCTCATGTGTTTAAGCCTGCCATGTTTAACTGGCAGTCTGCTTACCATATACATAAAAATGTTCAACCCGCAGCTCCTGAAGAGTCCAGAGAGAAGCAAGCGGATCCCTCAGCACCACCCCCCACAGAAGCTTGAATACCCCCAGCTGATTTCTTTGCCTTGATCTTTCTCCTACTCGTCCCTTCAGCTGTGCAAGGGTGAAGGGGAAAGCGCAAAGACCTGGTTCAAATTCTGCCTCCCCCACTTACCATCCCATAATCCGATCACCTCAACTCTCAGAGCTTCAAGTTTCTCACCCCCAAAATAAGGAGCATAACTGCTGCCCACTGTACCGGGTTAGCCAAGAGTGGTTCCTTGAAACTGCTGTTGCAGAAATGCTCCCAACTACCAAGTGCTGAACCAGGGAAAGGATGTTTGGGTCCTCATAGCCTGGCGCCCCCACTCGCTCACTGCCAAGGCCAGAGGAGGCAGGGCCCTGGCCCCTTGGACTCTCGGGCATTCTGTGGTTTCTAGGCCTGACAATCAGAGGAACCAGCAATGGCAGCCCCAGCAACAAAGTGAGGGACCAGAAACCCAGCGAAGATGGAGGGAGGCCAAGAACCAAGTCAGCACTTTATTAATCTGGCAGAGGGGCAGCTATGCTGGCCGACAGCCCCTTGCCAGACCCTCCTCTGTACTCCTCTGCCAAAAGAGGCACAGTCGCAGGAATCCAAGCTGAGCAGGGGCAAGGCCAAGGAAGGGGCACGAGTTGCCCACTGCAGGCATTAAAGGCCAACCCAACTTCCCTGCTGAGGCTGGGGGTGAAGCCGGAAACGAGTCATTAGCCCCCATCCCTCCCCTCAACCCCATACAGCTGAGGCTCTTCCTGGAGTCAGGAAGCCGTGAGTCCCACATCAGCTGTGGTCTGGAAGGTGATCCCATCGCCAGGCAACGGGGAGGACAGGAAGGGCCAGAGCCAGACGAGGACCCAGCGGGGCCCCAGGGCTGCCTGAAGGTTGTGGCAGGGGCCCAGGTCATAGGAGTGTTGACCCCGAGCCCACTCCCATGTGGTCTGACCCCGCAGCAGCAGCATCCCATGGAAGAGCAGCCCAGCCCCGCACAACAATGCACCTGCCACACACGTGTCCGTCACGAAGGCCAGGGCAAACTGTGCCAGAGACACTCTGCCTGCAAGGAGAGAGCAGAGAGGATCAGGAAGCAACAGTCAGGCCCAGCTTTCCCAAAGCCCAGCTCCTGACCTCCTTCCACCCCCTATGCTCCACCAGGAAGCAGGGCTCACTCCTCCGCTCAGCTGGCCAGCCCATGCTGGGTGATAGGAACACACTGTTGAATCCGGCAGACACAGCGCCGTGCCTGGGCTACGACATTCACTCATGCATCGCACACTTGGTGAGCACCTCCTAAGCACTGGGCCTGGTGCTAGGCACCATGAATACTGGGTAGCGTTGCTGCCCTCGGGGGGCTCCCAGACATTAAAGAGGTAGTTTCTCAGTGGCTTTTTCATAGCTATGATGTGTGTCACTATGGAAAAATACAGCATCTTGTGCCATCTTGGCCCACAGTAGACAACACATACCTGCTGAACTAAGGAACTACAAGATGCCATGAAACGCTAAGTGAAAGAAGCCAGACACAAAAGGTCACATATTATATGATTCCATCCATATGAAGTGTCCTGAATAGGCAAATCGATAGAGATAGAAAGATGAGTGGTTGCCTGCCGGAGGCTGGGGGGATTAGGTAGGAATGGGGTGTGGCTGCATAATGGGTGTGGGCTTTCTCTTTGAGGTGAAAATGTTCTTGAATTAGTGGTGAATTAGTGTGAATGTGCTAAAAGCCACTGAATTGTACACTTTAAAATGTTAAAATGAATTTTACATTGTGTGAATTTCACCTCAATAAAACCCCTGTGCCGGGGGGATGCCATGCAAACCTAAGAAGGAAGGGGAAGTGGACTTCACCTATTTTGATAAAATAGGGAAAAGACATTCTCTTTGAGGACCAGAAGCAGGACAGAGAAACGCCTGTGAGATGAGCCAGTGGATGATTGCGGGTATGGATGCTCAGGAGAGAAGCCCAGGCTGGACCAGCAGACCTACAAGCCGTGGGCGGTGGTGGGCGACTCCGAGAGTGTGGGTGCAGCTGGACCCACCAGTGTGCAGAGGGAGATGAGAATGGTGCCTAGGCCTGAGCACAAGGAATCGGGTCCTTGGGGATTGATAAAAGAAGAAATGGGAAGCCAGAAAGGAAGGCGGAAGCACCAAAATCCAAGCTGTCAGTGACAGTGACACCAGGATAGATCACTTCACATCACTTGGCAGGCAGTATTCTTATGAGTCTGAAGATCGCATAGAGCAAGAAGAGAACTCAAAAGTGTCCTTTGGGGTTTGTGGAGTCAGAGCCCGGGAGATGTGGCAGTCTCAGAGGAGTGGTGGGGGCAGAAGCTAGGTGGGAGCAGGTGGGGGAATGAGTGGGAGGCAGGGAAAGCAGCCACGAGCCTGGGCAAGCCCTTTGGGAAGCTTGCCTGCAGGGGACAAGAGGGAGAAGGCAGCAGCTAGAGGAGGAGGGTGTGGGGCGAAGGGAAGGTTTGTACAGGGTGGGAAAACCCAAGAGAGCCGGGGACGCAGGACAGGCAGGCGCCATGGCTTCAGGCCTCAGCGGGGTGGGGGTGGGGGTGCAGGGGGGGCACACACTAGAAGCTGGGGGCAGGCAGCCTGGCTTGGGGATTTGAGGACAGGACAATTTTGAATGTACCATCTGATGTTTTGTTTTCTCTGTGATGGATGTTGGAAGGCAGGAGAGTGGGGAGGTTTGACTGCAGTTGCTGGGGGAGCAAGCTTAGAAAACAGGATGGCCAGGCACAGTTGAGGGCCTGTTGAGATCTGTGGCCATGAATGTGGCATGGTACCAATGTGCCATGGAGTACGTGTCTCTGGCAGCTCTCAGCAGCCAGGGGCAGACACAGAGAGGCCAGGAAGTCACAGTGTTAGGAAGGCAAGCAAGGAAGTTGGAGAAGTTGCAGGAGAATGGTGGAAATGAAGGGCTCTCAGCTGGACATGGGATGGTGAAGGTGGGAAGGTGCAGATGGAGAGAAAGGTGAGGGCCAGGAGCCTGCAGGCCCAGGGAGCAGGTGTCAGGGAGCCGAAGAGTGAGAGATGGATAAAAGGAGAGGAGGTGGGGAGCAGGAGGAGGGACGACTGAGGGGGTGGTTTTAGAAGTGACACACTTTGTACAAGGACTGGGGCATGGACATGGGAGTAGGGGAAGGAAGTAAAATAGAGGAATCAAGAAGCTAAGCCACTTGGGAACTGATGGTGCTGTTCACACAGACTTGCAGACACCCATGATTTCAGCAGGGCCCAGGGCTGAGAGAGACTCTGGGAGCTGGAGCAAAGTCTGCAATGACTCTGGAGTGAATGGGAGGCCATGCTGACCACAGGGAGGTGGGGTGCAGGGAGCTGCAGCTGGAGGGCCGAGGCTCAGCGGAGGCAGGGCGGGACTGAGGAGGGTAGAGCAGGACTGGGCAGGATGCCAGTGTGGGCAGAGAAAGACTCTGAGGACCCCAGTGGGCCTCCTGAGGCCGCCTCTGGGCTACAGGGAGGGGGGCCCTTGGGACAGAACTGGGCTTGGGCAGGATGAGGCACGGTGACTACTCAGAGTGGTCAGGGAGGTTAATAACTGCAGAACGAGGTTACAGAGGGGACCACGGAAAGGTCAGGAGGAGGAAGTCGGGGGCGAGAAGGCCAGAGCATTCTGAGGGGGAGAGAACAAAGAGTATAAAGACCAGTGCGGCTTTTATCTTGGGTGGTGTCAGAAGAAAGAGGAACATATGTGTCATCCAGAACATGGCCACTCAGTCAGCCTCCTGATCCAGGTCTTCCCCTACCAACTTCCAATACTGGGCCTTCTGCCTGTAACTTTCACTGGCTCCACACTGCCCAGTCATAGAAGAGCCATCTTGTCCCACCAGTATTCAAGGCCCTCACCGTCCAGTCCTAACCTACCATCCTAGCCTTAATTCTCACAATTCCCACCACATCACCTTTGCTACTCCCTGCCCCACCCCCAAGCCTTTGTTCTTGCCTCTTCCCTCACCTAGAATGCCTGCCCACATCCCACCGCCCCTGCAGACTCCTACTGGTCTTTCCGCCTCTGCCAACAACTGCTAGAATCCTTCCCTGATTCTCCCAGCCAGAACTCTGCTTGTCTTGAGGTGCTGTATTTTACCATACTGCACACCCAGTGCAATACCAGGCTGCCCTCACCCCCACTAAATGACATTGGGACTGGGTCCCCGGGGCTAGAATTCCCATTTCCCACTAGAATGGGCTTTACTCCCGTGCCAAATACAAGCGCCTCTGCCTCTCTGCAGAGGCCTCCCAGGGTCCCCACCTGTGAGCAGCATGAGCCAGGGCAGCAGGAGGAGGGCGGCGGTGTGGAGAGGTGAGTGGGCTTGCAGCAGGGCTGTCAGGGCAGGGCCCAGCAGCACAGAGACGTGGAGCAGGACACCGGCAGCATGAAGCAGCAGACACAGGAAAGGCCGGTAGTTGCGGAAGCCCACGCAGCGGCCCAGCAGGCGGCAGTGGTGGTCCCGGCGCAGGATGCAGATGCGGCAGGCCGAGCAGTGCCCACTGCGCGGCGGCACTTGGCTTTGGCACTGGTAGCAGTAGCTGCAGGGAAGGAGCCACAGGGTCAGTTCCCCCAGCAGCTCTGAGGGCCACACATCATGCCCAGCGTCAGCCCCTGAGCCTATCCTGGGGCAGCAGAAACAGCCACCACTCGCCCTGGCAAAGCCTCAGGTTCTCCACAGGTAAGTGCAGGCTGAACAAGATTTCCCAGGCCCTTCCAGTTCTAGCACTGAAGGACTGAGGTCTCTTCCAGCGCTATCATCCCCAGTCCTAAGGCTTTCTCTGGTCTCTAACATCCAGCAGCAAACTCCTCACTTTCTCCAGGGTCACCACCTTGGTCCAAGTCATCATGAATGCTCCTCTGGATTATCACAGTAGTCTCTTGACTGGCCTCCCCAATTCCACCTTTGTGCCCTCCCAGTGTAGTCTCACCCCAGCAGCCAGACTTCTCCTTTTAAAACATTTTAAAACATAAGCCATGTGCCCCATCTACTCAAAACCCTCCAATGGCTCTCCATTTCATGTCTTATAAAAGGCAAAGCTTTCAATGTACTAGAAGGTTCTTACATCACTAACATCTCTGACCCCTGTCTCTCCACTCCAGCCTCACTGGCCTTGCTGTTCCAGGAACATGCTAGGTACACACTGCCTCAGAGCCTTTGCATCATCTGTCCCCTCTGCCTGGAACACTCTTCCCTCAGATTCCCACATGGCAAACTCCCACACCTCCAAGTTTTTGCTCAAATATCACCTTCTCAATGAAGTTCACCTTGGCCACCTATTTTTTATTCGTAAGTTAATTTTTTAAAGTTTTATTTTTAAGTGTAAATTGACATCTTTATAGTTGCATATATTTATGGGGTACAAAGTGACGTTATGACTTACGAATACAATGTGGAACGATTAAATCCAGCTGATTAACATATCCATCCCCTCAAATATATATCACTTTTTGTCGTGAGATTTGACTACCTATTTAAAACTGAAACTTGCACCCCCTTTACCCTGCTCTACTTTTTGTTTCCATGCCACTCTCATCTTCTAACATTCTATATACTTTGCTTATTTATTATGCCTATAATTTAGCATCTGCCCCCTCCCCCGCTGAAATCGGCTCCAGGAGGTCAGGAATTTGTTTTATTGTACCCCCCAGTGCCAGGAACAGTACCTTGTATACAGTAGGTACTCGATAAATGTGCGTGAATAAATAATACCCATTCTGGCTCTTCCATCCCAGGTTCTAGAGTTCTCTGGCTCTAACAGCCCAGTTCCTAATGTAATCAATTCGTAACATCTCAGGTCCTGGGGTCCCTGCCCCTGTCCGAGGCTCCCTCTTCTCCCCGCCGGATCCCGCGCCCCACTCACGCCCAGCCCTGGCCCAGACCGCGGCCGGCCAGCATCACGCCCCGGATGCTGGGATCCGAGCGCAGGAAGAGCCCCACGTTGCCCAGCAGGTTAAGAAGCTGGAAGGCGGCTAGTACGAGCTGCAAGGCCCGAGCCAGGGGTCCCAGAGGGGGGGGCCCAGGACCCAGCACCAGCACGTAAGCCAGCTCCAGGCCCACAGCGGCGGCCCACAGCGCCGTGAGCACGAGAGGCAGCCGCGCGGACGCCCCCTCGGATCGCCCAGCCGCCCAAGGCTGCCCCATGGCCTGGACCCACCGGCGGTCAAATCCCGAGGACCCCGCCGCTTCCGTATCGGGGCGGGGATAGTGGCAGACAGACGTCTGCCGCGACCAATAGAAGTCCTAACGGGAGGGGTGAGCGCTCAGATTCACAGGGAGGGGCCGGCAAATGCAGAAAGGTGATTGGACGGCCGAACGGGCCAGGAGCTGCTTGGATCCCGTTGGCTCTAGAGCCCGGGAGACACCGCTAAGTGATCGCCCCGCCCACCCCTAGGCCCCGCCCCTTCATCGGAAGCCCCGCCCGCTGGTGCTGCGGGATGTCGCGCCCAGAGAATTGAGTAGCAACCTCGGTGGCACCGGAGTTTCCCGGCTCAGCACATTCTCCCCACCCCTCCAGCCGCCTCGATATTAATAGTCCCGCCTCGGCCATCCAGCTGGCTCGGAGCCCCCCACCCCTTGCTCGGGCGTCTTCCTCCATCACCCTAGAAAACATTCAAAACAGCTCGGCGCCTCCGTGTTTCTGACTGTGAAATGGGGACAGGGCCCTGTCTGCCACCAGCGCGGCGCGGGAAGAAGGTCAGGAGGAGGCGCAAAAGGCAGCGCACAGGGCGGCGTGCAGCCACTAACATTGCCATCGTCTCCATTGCACGGATGAGGACACAGAGAGGGCCCGTGGCTTTCCCAAGGTCACACAGCGCCCAAGCGGAGGAGCCGTAACGCGAACCGCGGATCTCCGCCACGAGCTCTACCCCAGAGCTCCCCAATTCCGCAGCCTCGGGCCCCAGGGCAACCTCTTGCCTGGTCCCGACCCGAGCGCCCTCACCCCTACCCGGCCCCTCCCTCCTCCCCCATATTTAGTGCGAATCTGATCCGGGGCTGGGCCGGGCCCTACATAACGGGGCCCCGGTGTCCGGGAGCGCGCCGAGCGAGCGGAGCCAGGAGCCCGAGCGAGATGATGATGGTTATGCAGCCCCAGGGTCTGAGGGCCGGGGAGGGGCCCTTCGCCAGCGGCGGCGGCGGGGGAGGCGACTACATGGAACAGGAGGAGGAATGGGACCGCGACCTGCTTCTGGACCCGGCTTGGGAGAAGCAGCAGCGGAAGGTGAGTGCTCACCCATTTCCCGACGGCAAAACTGAGGCTTGAGAGGCCAGGCGGTTGTCCTGGACACCTCAGCAGGCCAGGGGCAGAGCCCGTCTGTAATCTAGAGTGCCACTCCCTAGCCCAGGATTTGCCCATCATCCCTCTGCTGTCCTCCAGGGCTAGAAGAGAGGGCTGGGAGCCCTTACGAGGGGATTAGAGTGACAGGGAGATTCTGCGGTTTTCAACCCCCTGGATTCATTCCCCTAAGCACAGAAAACAGGACCCCCCAACCTGAGGATCTTTGGCCCTTGCCCCACCCCCACTTTTTCCCAAGATACCCCTCTCTGCCTCAGGGGCCCTGAGTCTGCTGAAAAGGCCACAAGGTCTGGGAGGAGGGGAAGCCTGGGTCCCCTTACTGAGTAACCTGACTCTCCAACCAGATGGACACTTTGTGCTGAGGCAGCGCCTTGGAGGAGCTAGAGAGGGGCACATGGGCAGCTAGCTGCCCAGACCCAGCCTTATAGGGTACTCAGGTCCCCCTCCTTCCCTGAGCTATTTCCAATAACCAGACTTTCCCAAGTGGAGGGGGCAGGACCACAGGACACCTGGGTTCCCAAAAGAGATGATCCAGGCCAGAGTGAGAAAAGTTTGGGAGAGGCAGCCCAGGGGTAGGGAGGGCACCATGAAGTCATTGGACCCTGCTCAGCATCTGCCAACAGTTTATGGCTCCAGGAAAAGCCAGAGTACCAGGGTGCTCAGTGGAATTTGCAGGATCTGAGAATCTCAGAATTTAGAATCAGAGCATTTCCGCTGGATTAGATGGCAAGAGATGACCCAGGGGCTGGGAGGTTCAGCTGACTTGGCTGGGGTGGTCTGGGTGACACGCGTCCCCCAGGCTGCCCCTGCACCTGTCTCCGAGCACGGCTGTAGTCCCTGGGTTTGGTAATCCCCCAGTGATGTCATCCCTACCCCTGGTTCCAGCTGCCACCTGCTCGGCAAAAACTCCCTATCCTCACCCCCACCCACCCAAGCCTCTCCCTGATCCAGGTCCACATGCCCCTCATATGACACATGCCAGTCTGTAACTATTTTTTCTTTAAATGACTGGTAAGGGGATCTTAACCCTTGACTTGGTGTCAGCACCACGCTCTCCCAAGTGAGCTAACCAGCCATCCCTATATAGGGATCCGAACCCGTGGCCTTGGTATTATCAGCACCAACACTCTCCCGAGTGAGCCACGGGCCAGGCCCTATAACTTTCTTTTATCACTTAAAAATTAGGAGCATCCTTCCATACCAACTTATAGCCACCCACTTTATCCATTCATTCAAAGACTGCACAGCGCAGATGCTCTGTAGATCAACCAGCATCCCCTTAGTTGGACATTTGGATTGTTTCTTTCTCATCCACCATAGTTTATTATAGGTTGTGATAAACATCCTTGTGCTCAGCTTTACCCCCCCTCTATCTCTGCTCTTCTGTCTCCCTTTCTCAGCAGTGACTCCTTCATCCTAGGGCTTCACACAGTCTTTGAGCACTGCCACCTCCTCCCACCTGACACCCGAGTCCTCATCACCCAAAGACATTCCTTCAGTAAATGTTTCTTATGTGCCAATACTGTTTTAGATGCTGGGATTCAGCAGGAGACAAAAGAAAGCTCCTGCCTCAGCGAGTTAATATTCCAGCAAGGACAAATGTTTCTATCTCCTCCACATGATCCTGCCTTGTCCCCCTCCCTGACACCCTTCCTCTCTTGCCCTGGTCCCAGTCACCACCTCCTCACTTCTCCCATCTACTCTGCCAAGCCATTTGTCTCCACTTTGCAACCAGAATGAGTTTTCTAAAACACAGTTCTGCCCGCCTTCTGAAGCTTCCCTGACTCCCTGCTGCTCTCAGGATCAAGTTCATACTCCCTGGCTTAGCACCCAAGATCGCGCATGACCTGGCCCCTGCCGCCCCTCCGGCCCGCCTCTTACCACTTATACCCCATTCCAGCAGTGCCCGGATAGCTGTTGTCCCACAAACGTAGCAACTGTTTCTCACCACCGAGCATTGCCCACATGGCTACCCTGTCTGGAGTGCCCTTGCCTGCCCTTCCCTGCCCAAATAACTCCCACTCTTCCATCACAGCTCTTATCAAATATTAGCCTTCCCCAAGAAGCACCCGCCTCGATTTGGAGAATCCCCCCCATAGACTTCTTAGCATGTCTCTCCCAGCACTTCTCTGACCAATGTGACTCTTCGATAGACTATAAGCTCCTTTAGGGCAGGGACCACATCTCATTAAGAGTCATGTTTGGCCCCACCCAGACCTGCCTGTCCCTCTGCCCTATCCAGATGCAAAGCATCTCAGACTCCAGGGTTGAAATGCAGAGAATCCAACAGCCCTCTTCAGTGCTTGGGTTCCCATCAAGTGGTACTCAGTACCCACTTACACACCTCCAGTGACGGGAAGCCCACTCCCTTCCCTTAGCAATGACAGCCCATCAAGTATTGAAAGCATCATCTTCCATGTCCAGCTCACAGGGCAACTGGAAAGCTGGTCTGAGGAGGAAAAGCTGGCTGAGGAAAAGAATTCCAAATGCTTTCCAGGGCCACTTTCCAGGAGTATCAGCTTTATGGTGGGGGGATGCTCTAAATTCTAGAATCCTGCCAGGTTGGAGGAAAAAGGACCTGAGACACCATCGAGTCTGATCCCTTAATTGTGCTAATGGGGTGACCAAGCCCCAGAGAGGGCAAGTGGCTGACCCTAGATCACAGAGAGTGAGTAGCTCAGCTGGGATTGGAGCCCAACTGTGGACTCTACAGCTGATGGCAGAATTCAGAGCCTGAAGGCTTAGTAGGTTGGCAGAAACTCATGCACCAGGTTCCAGGTCACCCCCAGCCCCGACAGACACACAGCCATATACCACCCCTCCCATGTCTGGAGGCTGAGGCTGACTCTTGGGGGAGGGGGAGGCAGTCACCTGCAGAAGCTAGGTCAGACTGGCCGAGTGTCCGGCTGCCCTCCACAGCCTGTGTGCACTTGCACACTCAGGGTCTACTTGGAGGCCAGTTGACAAAGCCCTGGAGGGTGGTGGGTCTGAGGTAATAATAACACAGGTGCACAGTCCTCAGGTGAAACCCTCAGGGGCAGATGTGCTTCAATCCAGAATTTTTCATATTTTAGAAAGGCAGTATCGCCCTGCACTGGTCACTGCACCGCAAAGGGTCCCACACTTTGGAGTGTATTAAAATTTTCTAAATCCCGTCTGCTTAAGACTGGCCAAGGCTGGTGTGCTGGCAGCAGGATGCCCCAAGTTTGAACTGGGACCTGCATGAGTCCCAGACCTCATTTCTTTCCTCCCAGGAGAACTAAAGCTCAGAGAGGGAAAGGGACTGCCCAGGATGCACAGCAAGTCAGTGGCTGAGCCAGGACTTGAATCCAGGGCCTTGGGCCCTGACTCAGGAGCCAGAACTGTGATCTATATCTCCCAGACCCAGTTTTAGGGTCTGAGTGCTGTCCTCTGCCCCCAGACCTTCACTGCCTGGTGCAACTCACATCTGCGCAAGGCAGGCACCCAGATCGAGAACATCGAGGAGGATTTCCGCAATGGCCTCAAACTCATGCTGCTCCTGGAGGTGATTTCAGGTGAGGCATGCAAACCAGTTCACAGGGGCTCCGGAACCCAGGGGAATCTGGAGAGCTGGGGGAATAGTGGCAACAGAGTGCTGGAGGGGACTTGAGAGGGGATGGGGGGAGTCTGGGGACAATGTCTACAGCTGTCTCCCATGACCTTTGACCTTTGACCTCTCCTCTTATATTCAGGAGAGAGGCTGCCCAGGCCAGACAAAGGCAAGATGCGCTTCCACAAGATCGCCAATGTGAACAAGGCCCTGGACTTCATTGCCAGCAAGGGGGTTAAGCTGGTGTCCATCGGTGCTGAAGGTGAGGAGGTGACT